CACAGATGTGTTTTTGGAGACTTAGATGCACCTGACCCCATGGTGTTTTCAGTCACTTCATGTGAAAGCTGGACAATGAATAAAAAAGATCAAAGAAGAGTTGATGCTTTTGAGTTGTGGTGTTGATGAAGAATGCTGAAAGTACCATGAACTGCTAAAAGAACTAATAAAATCTGTCCTGGAAGAAGTGCAGCCGGAATGCCCCTTGGGAGCAAGAATGGTCAGATTTTGTCTCCTCTCCTTTGTCATGTTGTCAGAAGGGACCATTCCCTGGAGAATATCATACTTGGTAAAATGGAGGGTCAGTGACAAAGGGGAAGACCTTCAATGAGGTGGATTGACACAATGGCTGCAACGATGGGCTCAGGTATAGCAAGGATTGTGAGGCTGGCACAGGATGGGCATTATTTTGTTCTGTTGTACACAGGGTCGCTATGACTCAGAGTTGACTCATTGACACCTAACAACAACAACAAAGCTAAAAAGTGCAACAGTGTGTAACGTAGTTTACATGATAACATAAGTTAAATGAGTTGTTGTTCCTGAGAGGCCTTAAACTTCAAGCAAATATGTGCCTGTGTCTGTTGACACAGATAACCCATCGACTGGAATCAGTGTGTACACGTGTGTGCATTTGCGTCTGCAGACTAGAATCAGCATGTGTGCACATGTGTGCATGGGTCTGCTGGCACAGGGAGCTCCTATACTGGAATCACTGTGTGTGCCCATGTGTGCGTTTGCATCTGCAGACTAGAATCAGTGTGTGTGTATGTGTGTATATATACGCGCCTGCAGATACAGACAACGCATAGACTGGAATCAGTCTTTGTGCACTTGTGTACATGTGTGCATGCATCTCCTGGCACAGAGAGCTCCTACACTGGAATCAGTGTTTGTGTACATATGTGCGCATGTGCATTTGAGTCTGCAGAGTAGAATCAGCATGTGTGCATGTATGTATATGTGCACATCTGTAGATACAGACAGCCCGTAGACTGGAATCAGTCTTTGTGCACTTGTGTACATGTGTACGCATCTACAAACACAGACATTCCATACACTGGAATCAGTGTGTATGCACATGTGTGCATGTGTACTTCTGCAGACACAGACAGTCCATGCAGTGGAATCAATGTGTGCATGGATGCATCTGCAGACACAGACAGCCCCCACGCTGGAATCAGTGTGTGTGCTCATAGAATCACTGTGTGTGCACATGTGCATATGTGCATGTATGCAGACAAAGTCTATACACTGGAACCAGTGTGTGCATGTGCGCATCTGCAGACACCCTGCACACTAGAATCAGTGTGTGTGCACTTGTGCGCATACATGTACATGTGCATGTGTGCATATGCAGACAGCATAGACTGGAATTAGCAAGTCTGCACATGTAAGTGTGTGCATGTCTGCACATGTAAGTGTGTCCTGTGGAATGGAATCTCTGTGTTTCCATGTATATGTGTGTGCATTTGCAGACAGAGCATAGACTTTAATCAGCACGTGTCCATGTGCATGCATGTGTCTATGTCCATCTGCACATGCAGTCAGCCCCTCCTAGACTGGAATCAGTATGTGTGCATGCTCGTGCATGTCTGCAGGTACAAATAGCCCGTAGACTGACATCATTGTGTGTGTGTCTGCAGACACAGCACATAGACTGGAATCAGTGTGTGTGTACATGGGTGCACATGTGTTCATTTGCGTCTGCAGACACAAGCTGTGGGACTAGGATCAGTTTGTGTGAATGTGTGTATGTGTGCATGTATGCAGGTATAGACAGGCTGTAGACTAGAATCTGTGTGCACACCTATGTATATGTGTGCATGTCTTCAGACACAGATAGCCCATACACTGTAATCAGTGTGTGTATTTTTGTGCACGTGTGTGTACATGTGCATCTGCAGACAGAGCATAGACTGCAGTCAGCATGTGCATGTGTGCATATGTGTGTGTCTGCGGATACAGACAGGTCACAGACTAGAATCTGTGTGCGCATGTGTGTGTCTGCACACAGCCTGTAGACAAGAATCAGTGTGTGTGCATATGTGCCTATGTGCATGTCAGCGCATACAGACAGGTTGTAGACTAGAATCAGTGTGTGCGCAAGTGTGTGAACATGTCTGCACATACAGCCAGTTGACAAAAATCAGTGTGTCCATGTGCATATGTGCGTATCTGCAGATACAGACAGGTTGTAGATTAGAATCAGTTGTGTGTGCACTTCTGTACATGTGTGCGCTTTGTGCAGTTACAGCCCGTAGACTGGAATCAGTGTGTGTGCATGCGTGTAAGTGCGTGGATTTTGGAGACACAGCCCATATACTGGAATTAGTGTGTGTGTACTAGTGTGCTTGTGCTTCTTCGGACACAGCCTTTAGACTGGAATCAGTGTGTGTACGTCTGCAGATGCATGCAGACAGCTTGTAGACTAGTTTCAGTGTGTGTGTGCATATGTGTACATGTATGCACTTTGTGCACATACAGATCGTAGACTGGAATCTGTGTGTGCACGTGTGTACATGTGCATGTCTGCAGATACAGATAGCCTGTAGACTGGAATCAGGGTGTGTGCATGTGCATACATGTATGGTTTGTGTAGACACCGCTTGTAGACTGGAATCAGTGCATGTGTACGTGTTTACATGTGTGTGCTTTGTGGAGACACAGCCTGTAGACTGGAATCAGTGTGTCTGCATGTGTATGTGTGAGTTTACAGACAGCCCATAGACTGGAGTTCGTGTGTCTGCATGTGTGTGTATGCTTCTGCGATTACAGACAGCCCATAGACTGGAATCAGTGTGTGTGCCCATGTTCATTTGTGTGTCTGCAGATAAAAATGGCCCATAGACTGGAATTGGCATGTGTGCACGTGTGCATTTGCATTCCCAGACAGAGCATAGACTGGAATCTTTGTGTGTGCATATGTGCTTGTGTATCTGCAGACAGCCTGTAGACTGGAATCAGCGTGACCTGAGCACAAGTCCTTGTCACCAGGCATTCCTTCAGAAGCCCTGTTCTTTGAGCCTTGTGTGAGTGGTGTCCTGTGTTCACTCTGGGCCATTTCACCTGCAGCTTTGGCTACGTTTGTCCTTGGAGCATTGGTCAGTAATGATGTATGACCATTACTTCCCTACTAGCCACGACCCCCTTCTCTGGAAGTGTGTGTCCAGCGGTGTTTTGTCACCATGGTTCTGGGACACATGGCTCGGTGTGTGAAAGTTTCAATACTGAGCATGCATTTGAACGTGCTGCATTAGCTCCTGGGTTACTAGTGACACAGCTAAGGCATAGTTAAATCAGTCGGACTCTGTTGTCTTCAGATGATTTGAATTTAATTACAATGACTTGGGAAGGGATTTTGTTTTTTCTGATGGGAAGATGGATATGGCTGCCTGCATCACCTGCCAGTGGTTGGAGGGGCACGTGCACTGGACATGGCTGGTGTGTGTCAGCTGCCGGTGGCTGGAGGGGTACGAGGAGCAGACAAGGAGGTGTGTGTCACCTGCCGGTGGCTGGAGGAGTACGAGGAGCAGACAAGGAGGTGTGTGTCGCCTGCCGGTGGCTGGAGGGGTACGAGGAGCAGACAAGGAGGTGTGTGTCGCCTGCCGGTGGCTGGAGGGGTACGAGGAGCAGACATGGAAGTGTGTGTCACCTGCCGGTGGCTGGAAAGGCGCGTGGACCACAGAGAAGCAGAGACCATGTGGCTGGAGGGGTACGAGGAGCAGACATGGAGGTGTGTGCCCCCTGTTGGTGGCTGGAGAGGCTTGTGGACCACAGAGAAGCACAGACCATGTGGCTGGTGTATGGATCGTTTTTGGAAGAGTGCGCTTCGTCTCTGCTCCCCCTCCCCAAGCTACTGTCAATTTCCTAATCTTATCATCAGCCTGGAGTGAATCACCCATTTTTATAAAACACAGCTGTGTATTGTAGTGGTGCTTCAAGGACACCACACCTGTTGGGACAGACCTGCAGACATGGGTGAGCGGACAGCCAAGGCTGCCCTAGCACAGCTCTCTGTATGTCTGCCTTGAGTGGGGAAGAGGCTCTTGGCTGCTGCCAGCGACTTTGCCAGCTCTCTAGCAGTGGAGCACGGACTGCAGCTTTAGGTGAAGATGAAACGTTCTCAGACTGTAAATGTGTTGTCTCTGGACATGGGCATTGCAGACGTACAGATGCCAGCAGGCTGCGTCTCTTGCCATGTGACAATATCGTGTGGTCCTGTCTGATGTGTTTGCTCAGCAGTAGTGTACAGGACCTGAGTGTTCGATCAGAAGGACCCAACATCATAACTTCTTATATTTCAAAGAGAGTTAAGGGGAAGTTTTCTGTCTGTATGTGAGTGTCGTAATTTTGCACAGAGGTGTGTGTGTGTGGTGGTGGTGGTGGTGGTAGTTTTACACGTGTATGTGGGGGTGTTTGTTTACAGGTGTGTGTGTGTGTGTATAGTGTAAGTTTTTCATGTGTGGTGGTGGTGGTAGTTTTATACGTGTGTGGTGTTTACATGTGTGCGTAGTGGTGTAAGTTTGTGTGTATGGTGGTAGTTTTTCACACGTGCTTGTGCATGTGGTGGTGGTTTTATAGGAGTGGGTGGGGGTGGTAGTTTTACAGTGTGCTCAGAACCATGTGCTTTGGTCTGTCCCATGTAGACAGTCATTGGAGGCGCTGGCCTCATCCCGAACAAAAGTGGGGCTGAGTGGTCTGCAGCGGTGTCCACAGGAGGTGACCAGTGATCTGCAATGATGTCTGCTCATATCAGACCTCATGTTTACCATGTGGTTTTCACCTGTCCTTTTAGACAACTAGAACTGACGGTGCTTTTATGAAAATTTAAAGTGCTCTTGTATACACTGAACTTAGACATTGACCCGCCACATGGTCTCTTTGTGCCGCTAGGTTGGGTCTGGCCCAGTGGCCACATTTTGACCACTATAGATCCCTAACACCCCAGTGATGAGGTAGGTGCTGACTGGTCCTGTATTCTGTCCTCTCCCTGGCAGGAGGACAGTGACCCGCCCGTCCATGAAAGCCTGAGCATAGAGAACACGCTGTGGGCCAGCACTGTCGTAGCTTCAGGTGAGTCCTTTCTGTGTCCACTGGGCTTCTTGCACTGACGTCCTGTGTCCATATTCCCACACAGGGCTAGCACACTGCTGACATGGGACTTGGTCACACAGCCAAGGGGCAGCCCAGGAGGCTGGTCACTGCCTGCGCTCGAGGGCAGGTGACAGGCCGAGCACTGCCGCTGCCACCTATGCTAGGGCTGTCCCCATGCCTCACAGCGGCTCCCAGCCCTATCTGGGCTCTAGGCGAGGTGGGCAAAGCTGGGAGCCTGTGCAGGCTCTGCGTGGATGCCCACTCATCCCTCACCTGATCTGTTGCCAGGTATCCAGCACCTTCTGGGTTCCTGCCATTCTAGAGAGATGGTGGTGGTGGTGGTGTGTGCCGTCGAGTCAGCCTCGACTCATAGCGACCCCTCCTGGGTTGCTGAGGCAGTATCACTATGGAAATAGATTGCCCAACCTTCCTTTCGAGGAATGGCTGGCGGATTTGAACTGCCATCCTTCTGGTTAGCAGTCAAGTGCCTTAGACACTATGCTACCAGAGCTCCTAGAGAGGTGGTGGTGACAGCCAAAAGAAACATAACCAGTCTGGGCTCCTTCTCCTGACCATACTTCAGGGAAGGGCAGTGTTGGGGGAATGAGTCTGCAGGGTGGTTCAGAAGGCCTGGGAAATGGTGAGGGTGGGGGGCTCAGTGAGGGCAGGAAGGGTGTGGAGAGAGGGTGAAGGAGGGATGGGCGGTTAGGGGCGACGAGGGCGGGGGCAGTGGCAAGCACATGGGGGTTCCTGGGGGTGGGAGTATGAGGGCCTGGGGATGCTGTGAGGGCAGGGAGGTGAGGGCCTGAGAGTGAAGGGGGAGAGGTGGGGGGCTCTGGGAGTCAGGGCCAGGGGAGAAGGACCCGAGGGCCTGCATGGGTAGCGAAGGCCTGGGGGCATTGAGAGCAGGGGTGTGCGGGTGAGGTCACAGTGGAGGAATGAGGGGAAGGCATGGTCTCCCTGTACAGAGGGAGGCATGCAGAAGCCCAGGCCAGGCGTGCTCAGGTCCCAGCCTCCAGAGCAGGAGAGTCACTTTCTCAGCCACGAGGAAGGAGGGGTGGTGGCTAGGGTGGTTGAGGGGAGGCTGGAGGCTTCATTTTGAAGGACGTGGAGCCAGTGGGGACCGTAGGACTAAAGAAAGGCCACTTGGAGTCACAGCGTCCACAGCAGGAGTTGCCTGTTACCCCACAGAAGTCCATGGTGATGCCCAGGGCAGGGGGCATGCAGATGCCCAGCCTCATGGCCAGCCTCTAGCCCACCTGGAACCTACTCTCAGCAGCTTGTTTTGTTTTTCCTTTGGTGAAATACGTAACAAAACTTTCTGCATTTCAACTGTTTCTCCGTTTACAGTTCAGTGAAGTTAGTCATACTCCCCATGTTATGCTGCCTTCTCCACTGTCCCTTTCCAAATGTCATCACCCTGAGTACAAACCCAGTGCCTGTCGGCAGTACCCCCTCTCCCTTTGCGTGGGGAGCTTGGGCCTGGCCAGCTTCCTGGTCAGAGCTAGTCAGGACAGCCTTGGGCCCACTGCTCAGGGCCTTATGGTTTGGTAGTGGAAACACCTGGAAAGCAGAGCAGAGTGTTCATTTCCATCCTGCAGAGAACTACAAGGAAACAGGTGCTCTGAGATCAGGTGACCAGGACCCTTCGCTGGCATGGCTCGAGATGATGCCTCTCGGGATGGCGTTTACTGTTGGTTTAGAGAACCCGGGTGGACAGGGCTGGATAGGCTGCACCCACTTGAAGTCAGGGAGAGTCCTGGCTGCAGCTCTGGGGACAGGGGCGGACAGACAGGGAGGGGAGCACAAACAAGGCCATTGGACTGACCTAGCAAGCTAGCTGAGAAGCAGGACTGTGTCCCTAGCACCTGGTCTTTTACCTGCAGATGGCCCTGCTCCTCTTTTAGGCCATGAAGGTCCTAGAGTTGTGGAGTGGGGCTAAACCCACTGGTCTCTTCAGGCGGGGCCTGTCATCATGCCCCTCTTGAGAGAGCAGCACGCAGCCTTGGGAGCCGTGTGTGGGCTAGACACCAGGAGTGCATGTGGCACCATCCTCAGTTCTGAGGTCTGGTGTCACTTGGGCCTTTCACAGTCCCTCGGGTCCCCGTGCACAAGTGTACCCATACAGGCTTTGGTTGTTAGGACTGCTCTGTGTCCCTGTCACACACACAGACTATTTACTTTCCTTATTAGAGTGAATTGTGAAGAAGCACTTCACTGTTGTTTGATCTGGTAGCATCCATGATGCTATTGGTCATTTTGCCCCAAGTGGCTGCGCTACAGACCTTGAGTGTGAGGTCATTTCCTGTGGTTCACCTTTAGTTGAGTTCGAGTTTGTGAGGACTGGTTGGGAATCTGCAAGTTGAACATTAGTGCCTGTGGTAAACACAGCAGCAGAAGGTATGCACTGGGACTTGCTGGTTGCTCATTGTTATTTTGTAGTTATGAAATTGGAATATTTTTATGAAGAGAACACCTTTTGTTCCTAAATTTGTTCTTGTTAGGTTTTTTTGTTTTGTTTTGTTAGTTTTTCTGATTTTGCTCTGGGGAAGGTTCGCTTAAAATACAGTTAGAGTATTAATTAGAAATTGGTAGGGTTTTGCATGAAATTTTCTAAGTAGCATGCACCAAGGAGGTCACGTAATAGCTAAGAAGCAAATCAGTATCCCACCAGTGTGAGCGGGTTACTGACTCCATGTTTGGAGCAGCAGGTGCAGCCTACGTTGTGACATTCGGACTTCGGCCGTGGCTCAGGAGGGGCCCCGGCATCTCCCAGTGGAGGAGGCTGGAGGCCCATATTCAGAGCACCAGCTCTACGGGAAGGCTCGCTCTCTCTGTTGCGGAACGACCTCACTCCCTGGTGACCTCGTGGGGCGTGACATGTGCCTTCTCTTCCCCGGTGGTCCTCATGGGGTGTACCATCTGTCTTCTGTTCCCTGGTGATCCTCGTGGGGTGTGGTGTCTGTCCTCTGTTCCCTGCTTCCCTGGTGATCCTCGTGGGGTGTACCATCTGTCTTCTGTTCCCTGGTGATCCTCGTGGGGTGTGGTGTCTGTCCTCTGTTCTCTGGTTCCCTGGTGACCTTCGTGGGATGTGATGTCCTCTGTTCCCTGCTTCCCTGGTGATCCTCGTGGGGTGTACCATCTGTCTTCTGTTCTCTGGTGATCCTCGTGGGGTGTGGTGTCTGTCCTC